TCCCGCGACTGGGTAGAGTCCCGCGGCTGGGTTGAGTCCCCCATCTCCGAGTCGTTCAAGTCGGGTCCCTCGGTCCCTTGCCTGGGTAGAGTCCCGCATCTCCGAGTCATTCAAGTCAAATCCCGCAGGAGGGTTGAGTTCCGCGTCTCAGAGTCGTTCAAGTCGGGTCCCGGGTCTGAGTCTAGTCTTACAGTAGAGGGATAGTAATTTTTGATCCCTCCTGAAATTTTCAAGCATTTTGGTAATGCTTGAGTTATTGACCAGAAGTCTGATCTATCTCCGCGGTTAAAGGACCTCCTTTCAAACGAATGTTATTTTTGGAATCTCCTCAAAAAATCGTGCAATTTAAGTATACTTGGTGGTATGCTCACACGAAATGGCTTAAAAAACCCCCCCCAGATCCCTATGTAACCCCCTAACCCCCTAACCCCCTAACCCCCTAACCCCTAAGAGTCTCGAGTCACCAAGTCCCGCAGCTCCGAGTCTCGAGTCACCAAGTCCCGCAGCTCCGAGTCTCGAGTCACCAAGTCCCGCAGCTCCGAGTCTCGAGTCACCAAGTCCGGTGTCACCGAGTCTTGAGTCACCACATCCCGTGGCTCCCAGCCCCAGTTAAGAGTTGATCGTACCAAGTCCAGCAGCACCGAGTCTCGGAGCACCAAGTCCCGGAGCACCAAGTTGATGGTACAAAATCTCCACGGCCTGGAAGGGGTTAAATTGGGGTCCGGTGCAAAATTCCATACATTTTGGTAATACTCATGTTTTGAGCACAATTTTTCCGCTATCTCCGTGGTTAAAGGACCCCCCTTTGAACTAGTGGTATTTTTGGAATCTCCTCGAAAAATGGTGCATATCGAGTATACATAACGCTATGCTCACGCGAAATGTCTTAAAAACCCCCCCCCCGGGACCTGTATGTAACCCCCTAACCCCCTAAGGCTGAGTGGAGTTCTGCGTCTCCGAGTCAATTTGGCATTTGAAGAGAGTGATTTTTGAGTCGATGGCAAAATTTGAAGCATTTTGGTAACCCATGTGTATTTTCTCACAAATTTGATCCATCTTCACGGAGAAAGGACCTCCTTTCAAACGAGTGTTATTTTTGGAATCTCCTCGAAAAATCGTGTATTTTAAGTATACTTGGAGGTATGCTCACACAAAAAGTCTGAAAACCCCCCCCCCAAACCTCTATGTAACCCCCTAACCCCCTAACCCCCTAACCCCCTAAGACTAGATCTTAATGAAGGAGAATTGTATGCCAGGAGATCTTTCGGATGGGATGAAAACACCCCTGAGAGGCCCTTGGGGGATGGACCCAGGGATTTAAATCGTAAACAAAAGTTTGATCAAAATTGAATAGACCTTCCACTCTGTGGAGCTTTAGCTCACTCAGAACTGGACTCCTGGACTGAGTGTTTGCATATTTGGATTCTGAAAGACACATTGAGGTCAGAACTTCAAAGATTTGAGACCTAAAGGCTGGTGAGAGCTAACCCTGCGCGAACTCCCAACACCAACAGAATTCTGATAAAAGTTTGATACACTACACACTTTGAGGGGCCATAGCTCACTCAATACTTGAACCACGGACTCAATCTTTGCAAATTTGGGTTCCTGAGCATCCTGAATTCCAGACAGTATGGCAAAGTGATATGCAAAACCTACTAACAGCGAACCCCAAGGATCTTTGACCGACCGGCAGAATTTCAATGAGATTTCCATAACCCACACACTTTGAGGAGCCATAACTCAGTCAATACTCAACCCCCAGACTAGAACATTGCAGACTGGGATTCCTGAGCTTTCTGGCTTCCAGACAGTATGGCAAAGTCTGATGTAAAACCTGCCAACAGCAAACCCCAAGGATGTTTGACTGACCGGCAGATTTTCAATGAGAATTCCATACGCCATGCACTTTGAGGAGCCGTCGCTCAGTCAATACTCAACCCCCAGACTAGATCTTTGCGGATTTGGATTCCTGAGAGTTTGAACTCTCAGATGATATAGCACAGTCATGTGTCCCGGCCCTGGACGAGAAACCCCCCCCCCCAGATCGCACTGTAACCCCCTAACCCGCAAATGGCTGAAAACCCCCCACACACCCAAATCCCTATGTAACCCCCCGTGGTGTTGTTGAGTGATCATGAGTCAAAGATCATTTGTCGAAGGGATATAGTATTGATTTCCGTGTCGAAGGAGCCTCTTTTCATCAAGAGTGAAAGGATGGTCTGGGCTAGGGGTTGTTGCTTTTTCCAAATAATCCTTTGCCATTGAATCAACATCCTGGGCAGCTTTAAACAGGTTAGGTAAGTCTGAAGAGATTTCCATCACTGAGGTAGCTGCCAGGTATTGTCCTGGTTTCCGGAGCTGCTGGAAGTTCTGGGGATTTGCCTCTATGGTGAGGCTTGAACCTCGTTCTCTGGGATGATAGTCCCTGCGTCGAGTGAGAGCGTCAGGCTTTGTGCCTTGTACTCCGGGTCGATATATAATCTTGAAATTGAAGTCGGCCAGGTATTCAGACCAGCGCGCTTGACGTCGATTGAGTTGTTTTGATGTTGTACAATATTCCAGGGAGCGATGATCTGTGTAGACCTTGACTTGATGTGTTGCGCCTTCGAGATAATGGCGCCATTCCTTGAAGCAAGAGACAATTGCAAGCATCTCCTTGTCATGCATCTCGTAGTTCAGCTCTGCAGGTATCATTTTTCTGGACATGAAAGGCAATGGGATGTAGTCTCCCATCTTCTTCATGCGGATAAAATGCCTGCCAGAGCATAATCTGACGCATCTGTTTCAAGAATAAGTTCCCGATTGGGGTTGTAATGTCGAAGTAGGTCGGCGGAGGTGAAAGCACTTTTGAGCTCGTCAAATGCCTTGTGTTGTGCTTCTCGCCACTCATAAGGTAAATCCTTCTTGGTGAGTGTCGTAAGGGGAGTCGCAATCTTGGAGTATTCCTTGATGAATCGTCGATAGAAGTTGCAAAATCCAAGAAATGATCGTAATTCACTGAGGTTTGTGGGTGGAGGCCAATCGAGGATGGATTGGACCTTTTTCTTGTCCATGGAAATTCTTCTGAGCTGATGAAGAAGCCCAGGAACTCCACAGAGGTTGTATGGAATTCGCATTTTTCAGCCTTGGCGTAAAGGCCTGTCTCACTCAAGCGTTGCAGGACTTGAGAGACATGTTTCTGGTGAGAGTCCAAGTCTGGCGAGAAGACAAGGATGTCGTCGAGATAGACAATGATATGTTGATCGAGCATGTCACGGAAGTTGTGGTTCATAAGGTGTTGAAAGGAAGCTGGCGCATTAGTTAATCCGATGGGCATTACCTTGTATTCAAATAAGCCATAGCGTGTCCTGAAGGCAGTTTTCCATTCCTCACCTTCTGCTATGCGCAACAAATTACAAGCGCCTCGCAAGTCAATCTTTGTGAAGACTTTTGCTGAGCGTAGGCAATCAAGGAGCTTGGAGATGAGAGGGAGAGGGTAACGATTCTTGATAGTGAATGTATTGAGACCTCAATAATCCACACAAAGGCGGAGAGATCCATCCTTCTTTTTGACAAAAAGGATAGGTGCTCCAGCTGGTGATTCAGAAGGGACAATAAAACCTTTCTTCAAGTTTTCATCTAGGTACTCTCGAAGAGCTCCCTGTTCCTTGTCAGAAAGGGAATAGATAGGTCCCCAAGGTGGGACCTTCCCTTCCTCAGGAGGAATATGATGGTCAAATGACCTATGTTCAGGAAGTTTGTCAGCTTCCTGCTTGCTGAAGACATCTAGGAACGAATGATATTCCAATGGGACCAAGGAAGTATTGGAATCGGCCTTGACTGAGTCGACTTCTGTCAAGGTGGGCGGCTTGGAGGTAGTCGACACCCCCAGGTTGAACTCGTGAGGCGTGGTGGAAGGGGCCTCCAAAATAGTGGGCTGAGGTACTGTTCCAGTCACCTCCCCTGTGTGTTGTGTGAAGCTAGATGTTGTTGATGACGGTCCCAAAGTAGAGTGTGTGGGCCAGGTTGTGCTGGGTCGTATGGTGAATCGAGACCAGGATATGAAGGGGTCGTGTTGACGGAGCCAGGGCATACCTAGGACCACTGGACAGAGATGACAATTAGTCACTAATAGTCTGATCCAGGTAGGTCCAAAGGGTGGTAGGAAATTGAGACAAACGACTGTCTCAAATTTGATGGACGCGGGCTTCCCAGCGCCATCAAAGAGGTAAAGTGGAGTGGGTTCTCTCTTTATAAGGGTAAGACCTGAATTTTTAGCAAAACTTTTATCTATAAAATTATTTGTAGCACCACTATCAATCAAAGCAAGGGAAATATTTTTGGGGTTTTTCAAGTGGAATGGAAGAGTCAACTGTTTTTGGGTTTTGTGTAATTCTTCGAGCGTAGGAGGGAATGAGGAACTAAGAAACACATGATTAGGGATGGGATTGGAATTGAAATTGGGAACCTGATTTTCTGTAAACTCCAGCCCCAGGTTACCCTTAGGTGTAGGTTGGAGCTTTAAGCATTTCCCGTAAGGGGAGAGGAATTCTTTTCTTCTTTACTTACCATACCAGTTTGAAGTCTGGCAGGTTTACGACTGACTGGGGCAACAGGGCATTTCAAGACTTGATGACCCTTATCTCCGCAGTAGAGACAAAGGTTGTTGTCCTTACGCCTCTGATACTCCATAGGAGTGAGTTTACCCCTCTTGGTGAGATGAGACGTGTTGCTCATGGCCCTAAGATTCTCTGTTGCGCGATTTGGGGTAGTCCCTCTATTGAAAGGCCTTGCTTGAGGGGTGAAGCGTACCTGTGGGTTAGTTCCAAAAGTGCGCTCACCTTTTTTGACTTGTCTTTCAAACAAGCGAGTATCAATCCTAATTGCAATTTCTTGAAGGTCCTTGAAACTTGAGGGTTTCTGGTTACGAGACAACTCATCCTTGATTGAGTCTTTCAATCCACGATAGAACTGAGCAGCCTTTGCTTCATCATTCCATTTGACAAGTGTAGCGCACCTCATGAAGTCTGCAACATAAGATGTCACGGACCCCCTCTGCTTGAGAGCATAAAGTTGTCTCTCAGCAGTTGCTATTTCATCAGGATCTCCAAATACTTTTCTAAGCTCGACACAGAAAAGCTTGAAGTCCAGCATGAAAGCAGGGTGAGGATCAGCCACAACAAAGGGCTGGAACCATAGGAATGTTGTGTCTCTAAGGAAGGATCCGGCATACAGAATCTTAGAATTCTCTGTGGGGAATCGAGAAGCTTGAAGCGAAATCACCATAGTTACCTGGGTGATGAAGGTTGTAAGCTTCTGACGCTGTCCACTGAAGAATTCAGGTGAAGCGATCTTAGGTTCCTGTGTCCTAGTGGTTGAAGTAGTTGTGGGAGCAAGGGATAGTTGACGTATTTCTGGGGTCAGCTCATCATGTTCACTTACTGGTGGATTGTTGGGTTCTTGTCCTTCTGGCAGAGTGGTAAGGGTAGCAACCCTGTCACAAAGAGAGTTGTTTTCCTGTTGTAGAGTTTCTTGTTGTGCTAGGACTTCTTCAAGCCTAGCTTCAAGTTCCGCTCGAGTTGGTGCCATGTTAGATGATGTTGATAGTGTCGAGGTTGTTGTTGTTGAAGATATATGACCAGACACAAGTGTGAAGGATCGATATATACTGTCACAACCGGTCCCTAGCAGATCTCTAAGACACAAGAGACAGGTGGACTGAAGTAGTTTACAAGCTTGAGCTACGACGAACGGAGTGTTGTCACAACCTGTCCCTAGCAGATCTCTAAGACACAAGAGACAGGTGGACTGAAGCAGTTTACAAGCTTGAGCTACGACGAACAAAGTGTAGCTCGTAGACTTGTGAAGCTGGTCGGACAGCTGAGTGACTCGGAAGGATCTGGCAAGTCGAGATGATGAGGAGAGGGGTGCTGATAGCGAGGGAAGGTATGTTGAGGTCGAAGTCGAGTTGCAAGGTTAAGTCGAGATCTTTGAGATGTGGCAAGAAAATATATTGATCCTTGAGAAAGAGGATCCTACAAAGGGTTTATATAGACATTCTTCTTGAACAGATGGTGTCTCCAGTTTGTCCTTCTTCTTCCCTCGTGTACCATCTGCCTATACCATTTGCCTATACCATTTGCCTATGCCATCTGCCTACACCATCTGCCTACACCATTTGCCTATGCAAATGTTTCTATACCGTTTGTATATCCCGTTTGTCTCCTACCACTTGTACTATGCCATTTGGTTACTTAGCATGTACAGTTTGCCCTTCTATCATATGGGTTACAACAGGGTCGTAACAGTATCATAGAATACCACTCCTTATATCCACAACTGAGTCCTCCAGAGGAATCAGAGGTAAGGGGTAAGTGTCACAGGAACACTACGGTACGGGTACGGCTACAAAACTCCTGTCTTTCAAGAACATTGCCGTTTAGGACACATTCATCTGGACAAAATCCTTGAATTAGCTAAAGACTGGTCTCTGTTGAGTCAGTGAAACCTGCTTGCAACAGTGTTACCGTGTAACAGCCGATGAGCTTGTTACCTTGTAACAGGTCCATGGCAAGCCCTGTGACAAACAGCTACACTCTCTGACTTAGTGTAACGGTACTGGAAATACGATGACTAGGTCGCAGTGTCAAGGATACTGCCCACTCTGGGACAGAGGACAAAGGACAAGGGGATACGGACTAAGAGTGACAAGGAATATACTTAAGATAACAAGACTGAGTCCAACAAGGAATGGGACTGTGACCCAAGGAATGTCTCTGGCTTGTCTGACAAGACTAGAGGGAACTGGAACGGACTGGACTGGACTGGACTGGATCGGATTGGACTCCAAAAGGGTGGCAATGGAATTGCCTTTTGATCAAGAACTAAAGAAGACTACAAAGTACAAGATAGGGTTTATATAGACAAATCAGCCTTTTCCAAGAGGCTCGTGCAGACCTGCGGAATACGAGCGCTCTGAACCGTTCTGCACTGTCCTGCATGCATTGCATTGCATCCCACCAATAACCACTGATATCCTACGATGCCATATCTGCATTTACCTACGTCCTACTATGACATCCTACGGGATGCGCCGGAAGTCGCTCGACTTTGTCGAAGGTGGTCAATGAGGAACTATGCAGAACATAGAAGTGCTGCGAGAACAAGAGACTGAGAGATTATGCCTTAGCAGGCATTAGAACAGAGGGACTAGAGACTCGAGAATTACTGGGGACTTATGCCTTGCAGGCATGGGAGCTAAGCACCGACATACTAAAATGATACTTGGAGTTTATGCCTGACAGGCATGAGAGCAGAGGTGAAATGTTAAAACACGAAAGTGGAGGTTGAACTTGTTTTGCGCAACAAGGAACACGTGATGGTGTGATTCATGACATGCAGGTTGGGTCGAACTCAATGGAACTCTCGTGGAAATCTATGTGTCTCTGGTGCTATGTGGTGGATTGTGTCTCCTCTGCAATCAATGTAGGCAAAGAATGATATTGAAGAATCAGCAAAGTTGGTACTTTGCTGATTGTACTATATACTGTCTACAGGTAGCCATGTCTTCCTCTTTCCCTGCTGCAAGCGTCTATGTACATACTCGGACAGGTGAAAACCCGCTTTGAGCAAACCCAGTGGGGAAATCTCAAAAGGGGAAAACCTGTTCCTACCTAATTGCAGCACTGCCTCCCATTCTCGCTCTTCTCCATCCTAATCTGTCGAACTCGATGGTGTTCCCTCAAATCGTTGTTACCCCGTAACACTTGGCCTCGGTGAAACCTCGCGCATAATTGTGCTCTGGCTTCTGATGTCCTCATCTAGTGAGTCCAGTGTACCTTTGTATTCCCTATCCTTCATCCGAAACTTTAAGGTAGTCCGGGCAGGCTCCCCCGTCAATGCACGAAAATGGTCTCTAGAACTTGTGAACAAGACTTGGTTGCTGGACTGACTGTTGCCTGTGTCATTAACAACAGAGAGCTTAATGTCCCTGTAGGGCATTTGACCTGGTTGAGCATCATAGTGTGCTAAGCTGAGTAAGGTGTCACCGTGCTGCAATGTCTGCTTGCGTAGATCGGAAAATTGTTGTTGGGTCCACTTACAGATATATCCTTGCCACTGAAGCTCAATATTGAGGTCACCACGTGTGAGAGTCACACCTCCTTCCCGCCCAATGGGCCAGTTGTGTGCAGTCACCTGTCTACTTGTTTCCCAGGTCAGTGTGGCATTGTGTGTTGATATTGTAATCTTCATCTTCTCCCCCTCACGTAAAGGTGCCAAGAAAGTTGGGTCATCAAGAACAGCCTGGTCAGAGAGGCTGTATTCAGGTGCAAGTGCACGCAAAACATTCTCATTGACCGGGGGCGTGAAACGCCCATTGAGGGCATTGCCAACACGATAGAGATGGCCCAGCTCTGAGTCCTCATTGAAGAGGTCATCAAGTATCAGTGACTTACCATCCCCAAGGGCGGATTGGATTGAAATGTCCAACATGCTTCCAATGTCTAGTGTAAGTCCACCTAGTGTTGGGTACTGCCGTTCACTTGGAATCATCGATGCTCCCTGCTGGAAACCGCTGGCAGGGTTCCGAGAGGAGCTCGTTGACATGGTGTGTATATATGTTTGGGTCCCTGTAGTTTCGGATGGATGCTTGTGGTGTGCTTTGCGCGTGTAGCTGGTTGACGGGATTTGGGGTAGAGGAGGTTACTTATAGTTCTCGAGGCAGCGAGGGGGTTACGAGAATTTGAAATCACGCGTGTGAACGACTACGATTTGTCAACCCGCAAGTCCGGTGGACAAAGGAGGACGAGCAGGGTCGAGACGCTTAGAGGGCGTGAGATAACGTATGGACCTGTAACATTTAACCTGATTCTTCCCTTTCATTCACCCTGTGTACACGCGTTCATCTACTTTGTGTGGGAAGGAGTGGGCGGGATACGGCTTGGTCCAGGGCACCACCTGCGGAGCACGAAACATGCATGTCCGTCCTGGTCGGGAGGGGAGCGGGGGAAGAACGAGTGAAGGAAGGCCAGGGCGGGGTGATACGTGAGGGAAAGTGTTGATCATGGATCCCTCATGGATTGCAAGTCTCGGTCAAGTGGTGACTGTGTCATCATCCTGGACTTGAGCTAGTGGAATGGAGCTCACTTTACGTGTTGGTCGAGACATGGTGGCTCGGCTTTTGAGGGTTATGGAAGGCATCCGTCGGTCGCACGGAACCCGTGTGGGAATCAGTCATCTTTGACTGACCTGATGCCATTATAGACAGTGTAGTTGTATCTTAGATGCTGAGTACCAATCACTATTGTACCGTCTGCCCACCTCAGGACCAGTTCAACATTGGGGTTCAGATTTCCGCTCTTTGATCTAGGTTGTCGGGGTGCAACGAGCCGGTGTGTCTGAGGGAAAGAAACTCAACAGGGGATGAGGCATCCGACCTCCCCTTCGAGGGGGGGAATTAAGAGTCCGCCGATCAGGTCTGAAAGGAGGACGTTGGGTAAAAGAAGAATGGAGGAAGGTAGTTGATACGTGTCCACCTTTCAAGGTTGAATAGTGCTTCGAGATACGTATCAAGGGATCTGAAAGGAGAGAGAGGAGGAAGGACAAGATTTGCGGGCAGGGGATTGTCGGGTCGAGGTTGGACGGTCTGACATGGTAACTGGGACAAGAGGCTACACGGATGCATCAAGCATTTTTCAAATTGTGGATAACTTATTGGCTATGATTCTACAAGTATGGACAGGATCAAGCAGCGGCGGAAGGGAGAGTCTCAGATCCTGCTGGACCGCTTCCTCTTACACGCCGTCTTCGTTGCCGCAGCCGCTGTGGTTGTGGCCGATTTGGATTGTTGAAGCAAGACGGCACCGGAATCGAGAGAGGTCGAAGCTGAAGGCATGGGCATTCCTCCCATCGACGATGCCGACATGCTCATCCCACCACCCATACCCATGGCACTGCTCGAAGCGCCCATTCCACCTCCCATCCCCTTGGAGCTGCTAGAAGCGCCCATCCCCCCTCCCATTCCCATCGAGCTACTCGACCCGCCCATGCCTCCGCCCATACCCATCGAGCTACTTGACCCGCCCATGCCTCCGCCCATACCCATCGAGCTACTGGAACCACCCATCCCGCCTCCCATAGATGTACTGGTACTAGCTGGAGCCGACGTGGACGTCATGACGACTGTACCTCCTGACGCGAGGATGGTCGTTCCTCCATCGGTACCGCCGGCGAGAGTAGTGTCACTTGCAGGAAGAGGAGGGTCACCTTTGACAGTAGCGGGTCTGGAGATCAGTACTGGATATAGCACGAACGCGACAAGGCAACTCACAAGATATTGTCTGCAATGACTCTTGCATACATAGGTGTGGGAGATGGAGCAACAGGGGCACCGTTTACTATAGGTCAGCTTGGGCTGGGTCTGACATAGGATTAGGACTTACAGATGAACTTTGCCGTCTCGGTATAATTAGGGATGGGTGTACCAGTCGTAGTTCCTCCCCAGAGTGGGTTGTTCCCTGGCAATTTGGTGAGAGGTCCGTTATGACCGATATCCTGTGGTGTGAGCTTTCGAAACGAGATGTTCCCGAACTCGGCGTGGTGGGGTTGCTTCGGCTAGCGGATCGGGTGAGGGTACGAGTATGTATTCACCTCGTCTACCAGTAAACCCTGATACTTGCAGTCGCCATTTTTCCCATGCTGATCGAAATCCTCCAGAGGTTTGCAATCGGAGATTCCCCCATTCTCGGCGCACAACGACCCTTCGGCGAAGATCTTCTGGAAGGTCCCAACAGGCCAGCCGTTGGTGAAGTCACCTGCGAGTCAGCGTCGTTGTACCTGTCGCTTGCGAGTGGGGAGGTCTTCATCGCAGAGATCGCCAAGATCCGTGAAAGCCGTGAAGAGGGGTGTAAATGGAATAAAGGAGAGACCGCGACTCACCGTGAAAGCCAAGACCGAGGTAATCGCCAGTTGCCAAGACTCCTAGAAAATCTCAGCTGAAATCTTACAATAGTGGAGATTCGCTACGTACGAGCGTTTTCCCGATATTCGAAGTCATCCTGCATACGTCAGCACGTTACCCGGAGACAACCAGACACGGTCAAGCTGGGAAGAGAGATCGATTGGACATACCTCATAGAACCACTCATAGAAAAGACCCATGATACGTTTTGGATGAGTATCGGGACATTTGCCACCTCCGTCAAAGTTACCCTCAGAGCTGTATGCGACATGGGCGCTTCCTTCCAGCCAGGCGTTTACACCGTCCCTTATCCGTAAGCATTTTCTTGGTACCGTCTGTAGAGGCTCACCAGCAGTGAGGGAAGTACCTGTTACATGAGCACTGAACGACACATGGAGAGAGACAGGAGTGTCAAATAGATCGACACGCAGACGCTTGTCCGACGAAGGCAAGAAAGAGAGAGAAGGTACAGATGGGAGTATGATAGATGAAGACTCACACTTCGGCACGTAGATCACCGGGACAGGATTGTGGCGGGAACACTCGTCATCAGCTCGACACCTTGATCAAATCACCAGACTCACTATTAGTCTCGGGACCGGGAACGCCAAGACAAGCGAACCGAACCGCCTGCTGAGCTGGATCACTCTCGTTGAACGTAGTGGTCCATGGATTTCCTGCTAACATTCGGAAACCAGGAGGGAATTCATAAATCGGTTCTTGCTTTTCGATCAGCGAGCGCGGTCCACATAGCATGATGAAAACTCACTTCATATCGGCGAGTTTCGTAATATCTGATCGAAGTCAGCCAGGGTTCGGGGAACAGATTCACGAACTGCATATCCTTTCAATGAGATGCAGGGTTTGATAGGGGCAGAGGGGCAGGTACAGTCTCTCTCCCAAGAGAGAGTATGTGGAGCAGAGGCAGACTCACGTGTTAGAACCTTTGAATTTGACCAGAGAGAAAGTGCCGTTTTCGTTGTGTCTGTACAATTGAGGGGCCCAGTAGTTGGATTTGTCAATGGACACACTTGCAGTCGTGCATCTATCACATAAATGTTTACCTGAAGCAACTCGACAAAAGGACGACGACTTACTGTGCTTGGAGATTGTCGGCGTAGTGATAAGTGGGTTCGAACGCGGACCCGCCGACGATAGCGTGGACTGAGATTAACTTTTGAGTCCAATTGACAATATTCACATCACTGATGATGAGGAGACGGTGGGTGGTAAATCAGAAGGATACTCTTGAATTCGATGGTCAGAAAAATGAGATATGAAAGTGTCACTCACCATGGCCAGACACTCCCCCGGGAGAGACTATCGGGTCGAGCCGACCCTGAGCTAGCGGGACGTGATTGAGAATCCACATTCTATCGTGTTAGCTTATACAGACAGTAGACCCCTTGAACCGTCCTACGTCCCGCCAGAACTTGTAAGCCATTGAGTCGTGAGGCACTCATCGCCCGTCTCGGCGAGGAGATGGGACAATACATGAAGAGAAGAAGAAGATCAGGCTCACGGAGACACGCCATCCCTCACTTCGATAGTCGGAGGCATTTCCTTAATTGGAGTGGCGTTTGTCAACGCCCATAATACTGGCAAGAGCGCTAAGCTCAGCATGTTGGTCAATAACGCGCGATTGATGACGTGCGGTTGAGGGTAGAGAAGTAAGTGTCGAAATTTGAGCGATCAAAGTAGGTATAAAGATCGTGATGAGTAAACGAGTGTGTTACTGTATCTAAAGAATGTCAAAGTTGTTCAGTTGAAGAAGAGTCAAAGTTCAAAGTGCCGCATTCTCCAATGTAAGTTCATTATATGCCTCGCCCCATAGTGTATACTCAACAAGAATACAGAAAGCAAGGGATGGGACGGATATCATATCACTAGGGGTAACGATGATTGAGTTGCGATCAAAGGCCCGGACGATCACTCTACCTTGAAGGATAATGTTAGTTCCTTTGATACATACCACTCACGGGATTTCTAAGCGATGCATGTGTCAAAGGTATCATTCAGCTGTCGTCCTGACATACCGCTGGGTATCGTAGCCGCGGAGTGAAAATTGAATGATGAGTTGGAAGGATATCCGAGTAACTTGATTGAACACCGCCTTGCACGGACAGTTTCGAAGATGAGTTTACGAGTAGCTTTGGCTGTTTCTCTAGGGGTTAAGAGTTGAAGTGGAGCTTGATGAGGTCAGAAAGTCAAGGAGGTAATCAATCGACTAGATTAGCACAGCCTCTCAACGGCTGGACGAACGTGAATGATATCATGGTCTTACAATGTTATACAGATGATTCCCCTTAGATCGATAATATCACTTCCAGATGAACACCAATTCCTCCATTTCCCCTTCTCCACTAGTTCGACTTCAAAGGGTATCCGGTACACCTGTACCATCGGCGGATCCTCTCATATCTCAGCCGCCTGCCTCTCCACCCTTGCCCTGGTCAGAGTTTGTATCTGAGTGCTCAGGAACTCTCCTGTTCCTTCTCTAGTCCTGGCAATCCGGAGGAGGACCTCTGCCATTCTATCCCCATCGTCTCCTCCTGCATCAAGACTCAGAGCGGACATGGTGCCTCTTGGTCGACAAGCCGCTTTGACCGCCGCCTGACATTTCTCCCGTAACGCGGGTGTCGGCAAGTCCAGATACTGACCGAGTGTGACGATATCTTTGTAGACGCCAGACTGAAGTTGTTGGAGGGGAACACCGTGTTCCGTCCCGTGCTCAGACGCGTTGAAAAAGGCCTTGAGAGTCTGTAGCCATTTGAAGATGATGTCCGTCTCCTGACCCGTGACCGGTTCACGATTGGTGGGTCGATCAGAGAGAGGGGGAACGAGGAGAGATATGAGGATATCGATGACACGTCGCCATAGGGCGAGCATGACTCGGATACGGGTAGTCGGGGTCAATGTGACGGAGAAGACGGAGAACTGGTGTGTGAGTAACAACTCAATCTGGCAGTCTGGACGAGCACAGTGGGACCAGCCAAGTTGACGGATAAGGTGATTGAGGAACAAGCAGTCATGGCAACTCGATGACTCACATTATCATTGAGATAGTCAAAAAGAGGCAGCAAGCTCCCATCTATATCCTCCTGCGTCAACGTCTGCTTGACCTTTTTCTTATCCTTCGGTTTCGTCAACCCATGTAGCGTCACCAAGCTCAATTGACTTTTGACAAACTCTGACATCTTGTCCACCAGTTCGCGAACCATGTCATCGGCTGCACGTTCCAACGCTCGACTTGCGACGCCCAGGTGATACGCGATGTCATGTCTCTCTCCACCTTCCATCGAAACACGCAGATGTACCATTCCTCGGCCTAGGGGTACGAGAATATCTCGGGTTGGGACCACGAATGCTCTGGAATCGAGTTTGAACGTGCTCGAGCCAATCAAGTCATGTTTGCCGACGAGTTGCCGATCATAGCATAAGAGTTCCAGGGTTTTATAGCTCCCGACAGACACTTCGAACGATTGTTCCCTTTCATCAGCATGGGCCAGCGTAAGGAAGGGGGAAAGATGTGATGACGAACTTGCATTGAAAACAGCACAAGCATTGGGCGGTCAGGGGGGCAGACAATGGACAATCACTCACCACCGGGGATCTTCCGCTCCGAGCATGGTGCGACTCTTCAAATACCGCTCGCCAGACTCTTTATCGTTTATGATCACAAACGCGTCAGGCGCCTTGTTCCCTTTACCACTCAAGTTCTCACCGCGCATGAGATTGACAGTGAATACGTGGCGCACAGTTTGCGAGCTAGGTTTGGGCTTGAGGTTGATGATGCGGGCCGTTTCCTCAGCTTCCATGGCGAAGGAGAGGTCGTCGAGGGATATCCGGGCTGCCCCCATGTCGGTGAGCTTGACGCAGGCCTGGGGTTAGCGGGCGGTCACAGACGACGCGACCTGTCTTCTACATATGCGACGGTATGACCTCATGAGAGTGAGACGAAAACGCACTTCCCAACTTCCACGAAACCACTCGAGCACGGCACATGAGGTAAGGACATGAGTTGAAATACTCACTACCGGAGGTACCATAAAACCATCAACTTTCTTTCTTTCCAGCGATTTGACAGCCTGTTGACCCTTTGCCAACCAGTTACCCGCCTTCCCTCCGATCTTATCTAGTTTATTCTGCAATTCTGCAGTAGGAGTGGACAATTTGGGGTTCATGTCCGCGTTGAAAAGGGCGAGAACGGTGGAAGCATATTGTGAGACAGCTATTGAAACCGTCTTCATGTCAGCGATCGCATAATGCTTGCCGTCGGTTGTATCTGACACCCCTCACACAAACTTGACGTCAGACGAGAAAGTCAACACAACTCCACCGACAATGACACCGGCGGCGTACTGACACGGACAAAGCAAGGAGCTACTCACCCTAGAGAGATCAATCAAGTATACTGCACGCTTGTACTCCCCCAGAGGCAAGTCATGCAGGATCACCTGAGCAGATTCTCTGATGAAATCAAATAAGTCTATTACACTCTGACTATGCTTGTTCTCTCCTTCCGGAACCCACTGTGATATAAGCCGCGACAAAGACTTTAGGTAGTGATACTCACACTGTCCATACCTACGGCTCGGGACACCCATTCGTGTGTATTATTATCCTGAGTATCCCTCAACCATGCTTCGACATGTGGTTCGAAGAAGGCATCAAGTTCAAAGGCGTGTTCTTGTCTGTGATGTCAGCCATATGACCTCACATGTTTTACTCAATTTTTTCATCGAGAAGAAGTGGTGCGCAAGGAGATCGTGGCAGCAAGGGAATCGAGCTACAGACGCGAATTGAAACTATGTCACTCACTCTGGACATAGATCCTCCCAGTGTGATAATAACCGCCCGGTTGTTTCGTACAAGGTGAACACGTCCGAGGCTGCCCCTCGCGGTTTATCAAGGATTTGCAGTTCGGCGAGGAAGAGAGGAAGTTGTTTGGATAGAATGAGTCCGGCAGGGTTGAGCATACTGTTTGTGAGCTGAACTTCCCCTTGTACTGTGTCATGGTCATGTACCCCTACATAATGTTGGAAGTGATGAGGAAGAGTAAGACTCACGGGCCCAGACCGTCTCTCCACGTCTTTCGAACGCCGCTGATCTCCGTCTCCATCCAGTCGGCCACCTGCTCGAATGCTTCCACTTGTTGATCTTTACCGTTGGCAGAGATACCAATGTTCGTCTCACCCAGACCAAATTGACTCATGATGACGACGTATTCACCAACGGCTTGACCCTTGATCTCATCTGCCAAGTCCTGTAGTGTTTTGTACGCAGATGACCGCTGCAAGAGGTCCGGAGCCGCTCTCAGGATGGGCAAGACAGAAGGGTTGGGAGGTGGAGGTGGCACGCTGGACGTAGGGAAGATGTTGGAAATGGCAGAAGAGAGTAGAGCAACCAGATCACCATACAGTTTAACGATAGGCGGCGGAAGAGGTTCGCTAGGATTCAGAAGAGCGGAAAGATCTCTTAGGTTTTCTTCCACCAAATGACCAGTCTCAATTTCGTCTCTCGTGTCAATGGAATTACCCCACCGAGCTATCACAGCCTCTAATTCACGCTCTTTCTCACGACGACTTTCGATCCCCCAGATATCACGACACTTCTCGACCAGATCTCTGGTCTTGACCCCAAGTCCTGCCTCGCCAGCCCGTTGAATCAGCTTCACAAAGACTTGACCTTTGCTCGGGGGAGTGAAGAACAGTTCACCGCCAGAAAAGGCATAGTCGACCGGAGAGCTAGGAGTGGCGAGATCTGGGAAATCTTTGAGTAGATTAGAAAGGCTCTGAGAGAGGGCGAGCTGACGGGTTCGTTGCGATGGGGGAAGTGTTTGCTGACTCTGACCGGTCAAGGCCGACATGGTACGTTTCAGATCGGTCAGATAAAGCGACTCGAGGGAGCCGGATCGACGTATGTTCATGGCATCCCTCTCGAGGACATCTTTCGGTACGTTCCAGACCATGCCTACCGCCTCGACCATTTCACCATCAGCGTCTTCCACCCAAATAGGGCTTGGCTTGCGTTTGATTTCGTTCTGACTGCTCTGTCTTTTCTGTGTGTCTCCGAGGTATTTAGGAGTACGTGTTGTGGTAGCATCGGGATCAGGAGAAGCAGGTAGCATGAAGGACTGAACCTCTGCTCGGAGACGAAAGAGGAGATCTTTGTCTTTTTCAGATTGGTTCCGAGCCAGAGGGGAGAAGTGAGAAGATCGCGGGAGAGAGTTATAGAGTAACTGGAGGAAGTGGGTCTGTTGAGCGTGCGTTGGTGCCGTGCCCAAAGTCTGAGGTGGAAGAGAATTTGTGAAAGCGTCGAGAAGAGTAGGTATCTCGCGAAGGTTCATACCTGATGGTGTCTTGCTGCCTTTCGTAACGAGGCCAAGTAAGGTTTGAACACCATTTGTCCAAGCTGTATCGCCTTGCTCTTCGGAGAGAGTGTTCCAGAAATCGATGAGAAACTCCTTTGGGAGTTTTAGGGCGTCAGGATCGGATCTCTTGAGACTTATACCAAATGATTTTCGACGTACGGTGGGAGGGGTGGTTGTCCTTTTTGGAGAGTTTTGTGGATCTGGAGTACGTAAGATTGGTGGGGAAGAGAGAAATGCTGGGGAGTTGAGACCTGGTGATGGTGATGGGGCTGTGGATCCGTTACTATACATCGTGTTCGTTCGAGGTGGGGGAGGTCTAGAAAGATGATGATGAAGGAGACTGCTCATAAGCCAACATCGAGTTCTGAAAGGTCAAGATGACTCACGCGACTCGCAGCGAGTACATGTAACCTAACTGATCCATATCCTTTTGTCTGTCCTTGTCTTTGGAACCACTCTCCACGCGACGTATGGGTACGCGAGGTGAGCCCAAGGCTCGACCATGAGGGGCTGATGTGGTGCTGGTGGATTTGGTGGACACGGTGGTTGATACGGAAATAGATCGAGCCATTGGGGATAGTGGGATGGGAGGGACCGGGGGAAGAGGAGAAGTATGAGAGTTGAGACGGTTCATGGGGGGAAGCTGTAACGGTTGGGTGGTAGTAAGTGGGGCGATGTCGGTACGCCGTGCCCGTGGGGAATTGTCGAACCGAGGAGGGAGATTATCAACGAAATGTCTGAGACCAGTCGTCTTGAGAGTGTGCTTATGGTCAAGTCCGAGCTGATGGTCACTGTGCCATGGGTATGCTACAGAGTTAATCGTGTACAGTGAGTAGGTGGAGTGGAGAGACGAAGGTTAGTGTTCAGGGTTCAACTAGGTTTATCGACTTCGAGAGGCGATGGAAAACGGGCGATGGCTGCCACGTGCCTATTTGACAGGTAGGTATGCAACGGATCCGAATGGAAGCATGTTAGGCCTGAGAAACAACAAGTTGGCAACACTTCTCATATCCTGGATCCAATCCGGTCAAGCCCATTAAAACCTCTCAATCATTGTCCCCTGCAGGTAATGGGACATCACTGACAGCTGCATGAATAGTTAAACATGCACCAAATCACTGACTATGTACAGCCAATTAGCTTGCAGGTAAAACCTCACCCACAGCTTAAGGTGGTACACACTTGACCTGTGAGGAGAGAGGTATGAGGAGATGTATTCTGGTGACTTCCTGGTCAGTTCTCCTGGATTGTTGCCTAGCTGCGAGGGATAGATTTTGCCCCCATAGCTTAGAAGCAGTGCATCTAGAATATTGCCTGTTATAACTGCATAGAAGGGTTGGGTTACCTGTAGAGGGGAGAGGGGTAGCTTATGGAAGGAATGCATGGATCTCGCATGTCAACCATGTGTCTGCCATGTGGAAATCACTGATTTCCCTGTGATTTCCCTTGATGATCAGCTGGGAAACCCTTCCAGGCACTTACGTAGAATTTACGCAGAAAAACCCTGAATCACCCCCAGTAGATTTGCGGGGCTGACGCCCGCAAAAACGCGTTTAGAACCACGTGACGTGTGGCACTAGCGCCCTGCGCCCTGCAAGAGGCACTCATAGAAGCTGTACACATAGTTACTTGGACAGTGTATGTAGTAGACTAAGTGTTGATGATTCATACCCATGTCTGTCTTGATGAAAGCACAAGGACGGATCTATTCCCAAACAGCCACGCATCTCACCTCGACGCTCTCCCTCGCAGCGCCTTGTTCCCCATCTACCCAATCCTGTTCCCCTACTTGTCCCGCCACATGACCGCAATACAAAGCGCTACCGTCTTCTCCTTGCGCCGTGTCATAACATTTGAGAAGCAATACCTCATCTGGCATTTGATGTCGGATATACGCCCACTGTTGCGATGGGGAATGATGAATGTCATGTCCGAATCCGTATTGCGAGGCGTGAGTTCCGAGGTCTTGTGGAGTGAGGGTCGGGTAAGGGCAGACGAAGAGAGGGGCATTGGTGACGGGTCCTGGAGTGTCATCGTACTGTACTTCCAAATCCTATTTGAAACATTTGTTCCGCTTTGACAATCACCGACGGATCAAGTTCGTGGCAATTTCCCCAATCCCTGACAGATAGTCCTGATGAAAGATATGTGTGTGAGCAGAAGAAACAAAGTGTGTCTCGTCGTTGGGCAGGTTTGACTCCTCCTGCTTTATCGCTCACCAAGCACAGTACATTACCATACTGCTCAGATGCGGGGAGGCTATGGACAGAATAAGAGTCTATCACTCACCATGAAGAGGTCTCCAGAGATTGACGATCATCGCCCTTTTCACCTCGTCTGCTGATCTTCCCATTGCCTTGCCGCAGAGTTCTTTGCCCCATTGCTGATCGTCAGCACAATCGTGTCTCAGACAAGGTATCTGTGACGGGACAACCCATCGACGAGGTGTTAGAAGTGAGGGTGATGACGAATGCTCAATCGTGAATGAGACACTCACAGCGTTCTGATCCACATGAGCGACAGAGGCGACAGGTTGAACCCTTGTAGTAGGAACGAAGCCCTTCTCTGGACCTTGTTGCTTGGGTACAAGCTTCTGTGGCATACCGACTTGGTTCTTCCTGACGACCGAATTCCACGCGATGACGTATGAACATCCTAGCCATTCTTTCATTGCTCTGGATATTAGTGCTCTTCGCCATAACTTGTATGGGACATTCGTGTGTCTCTTTGACTTTTCGTCCATCCAAGAATGTGGTTTGAATGAGACGTAGACAGCAAATGAGTTCCGGACTTAAGGTCAGGCGATTCGAAAGTTAAGCGTCGGGATAGTCCGTCATGAGTCGAGATGTTGGGAAGAAGATGAACATGAAAAGGAAAGAACACTCACGCAGCAGTCTCCTCAAGATACCTCTCCGTCCCATCTTCCTTAGGCAACTCGTCCACCCACTCACTCTTATGTCTCGCAGCTGCATAACCTTTCTCCTTCAACTGTTCTCCCGGAGTTTGCTCCCCATCCAAAGTCGGACGAAGATCGGTTACTGAAAGACGTACCGTCTCCGTCGGTCTTTCGCTCGGAGGAGGGAAAGTCAAATAGATAGATTCGTCATGGTCCAAGGCGGAGGTGGGTAAGGTGAAAGTGATCAGAGCAGAGAGGTTTTCAGTCGGTGCGGGCATGTTTCTTGGTGTCACTTTTTCTTCAACTTCACTATCAATTCTGATCGATGTTCTTTCACGACAGTCGTTGAGTCACTAGTAGGCCTGCTACTGTCTCGAGGTTGGTAGTTGTTTCTCAACTTTTGAACATAATTTAGAACTGTCACTCCCTAGGTATGCGTACCCCTCAATCCTCGGAATGAAAACTGACACCAGGTCAAAGCCGAAAGTAACAAGCATAGATCAGAGAAGATCCGGTCACATCGTATCTCCTATTTCGCCCATTTGGTTCCTGGCTGGTTCGCACTTGCCGAGTCCGCTTCTTCCAGGCGTGCAAGCTGCATGGCTGCCCAATCAAATACAGTAGTTAGATTTCTTCTTCCCAGCTTAGGGTACCAGGGTCACCAAGGGCACTAAAGGGTTAGTAATATTGGCCTGGATGCTAGATGGCTCTGCTGAAGGACAATTCCAAAGTGTTCGTGCTCACGGTACCCCGGTGTACGGTGCGGTACATGACGGGCGCGGCTGTCGGATCTCGGAGGAATCGGACATGTGCGATCGGGAGATAAGGAAAAGAAAAAGTGAAAAGTCACCATGTGATTCTTCGGCTCTACGTCTCCCTTGGACAACTTTTTTCTCTTGCTCTTCTCTCGCCCTCCTGCTCACTTCCCCTTCGGATCTTGATCACTGGCGTTGACTTGTCACTGAACACATGGCTGACTACTACATCCAAAGGGACGCTTAGGGTGAACTCAGGACCCTTCGTGAAGAGACGTTCCCCTCCCCCCTCCCCCCTCTGTTACTGTAGTAGCAAGGGTCCAACCGCAAGGGTAATCCTACCACGAGTTCTTATCTATCAATTCGCTATCTCATCTCCGATCAGAGTGGACCAAGTAGGATACCTAAGCATGAAATGACTGACCAGTAAAAGAAAATCCAAAATGTCGTACTCTTGACCGAATCCATACTGACCTTCTCTTCGCTTAAAAGGTAATCAATCACCTCTTCCCAACGATCATCCGATTTCTTGAAGGGACGAGGGTGGGTGATAGAAAGCTACATAGAACATCTGACAACGAATCAAGAAGACAAGACATTTAGTTCATAATATCAAGGGACGAGGGCGGGCAACTTTACTACTAAAATGGTCAGTTTCAAATTACCGAAACTCGAGGTGGGAGGCTCAGAAGGGCGTGAGAGAGTGTTAGAGAATGATGATTTGTTACCTGTCCCATTTGAGAATCGGTGGGTTTATTTTCTTTCCTTCTAATCACCCCTTGGACATCTCTCCGCTCCGTCTCGGCAGCAGTCTTGACCGGCATTTCTACTCACAGTATTGCTCTTTCCATCTCACCGTGTCGTCCTTCCCATCAATCCGTCGTCCTAATGATACCCTTTCATCGAGCTGAAATCATGAAAGACGGATGCGTACTGAGGTGACCTACGAATGCTGACTCTCAGAACATGGGGATTTTGGACGTTCACCATTTTCTGGTTCTCCGCCGTCGGGTCAGTCGTCTTTTTCCACTGTGCCCGACTTCATCAAGGTCTGACCAATCAGAACAGTTGCCAACTGGCTTGGAGGTGGTAGTTTCCTCACTGTAAGTTTCTTTGCTCTCAAGTGATTGTCACTGACAATCAGTATGGTATATGTATGTCTTCACAGGGTACCGAGAAAAGAGACTGACGAACTAGCCGTATGGGACGGTATACTGTGTCAGTTCTTTGGATATCTATTGATCTCATTCTTCATGGTCATTAATGGACGTGCTGGATCTGTATATCATGTGAGTTTGTGATACATCTCCACTTCCCTCCGTACCCCTCATCCTTCTTTTTTCTCATCTCCATACCCTTCACATGGCTCAATTCTGTCGGGAATGGTAGAAAGTGAATCAGCTAATCTACCTAGATATCATACCCCGTCTACTGTCGTTCTTCTTTCGGAGTCTACGGAGCCTACTGGCCAATTCTCAACCGCGCTCTCTCCGCCTGCGTATGGAACGGTGTCAACACAGTCACCGGTGGTCAATGTATATCAATCCTACTCCATTCCATATTCCCTTCCTTCGCCAGGATCAAAAACCACATGCCATCAAATTCCGCTCTCACCAGCGCAGACATGATTGGTTTTTTCATCTTTTGGTTCCTCACCGCTGCGGCATGTTTCGTGTCGATCCCGAAATTCCCTTGGTTGATCAAGGGCAAGCTAGTTGCTTATTTCCTGAGTTCCGTGGGGATGTTAGCTATGGCTCTTCATGCAGCCGGAGGAGTCGGGGACACTTTGACGGCAAAAGCAACGGTTCATGGAAGTACGAAAGCTTGGCTCATTGTGAGATTCACTTTGTTGGCTGCGGCGGGTTGTTCTACTTTTGCTAGTAACGCTGCGGATTGGCAGAGGAATGCTACCAAACCGAATGGTGAGTGTTGGCTTGTTTCTTTCCTCTAGTGTTTTGATTTTATTGTATTCATGAGTTGCTTTGGACATGATCATGTCTCTGTCATCGCGATGGAACTGGTCCTAGAGTCTACTGACCGGTGATTTCCAGCGTCAAGTATGGAAGTATGGGAAGAGACTGATGATTAGACCCAATCTTCGGTCAAGTTTTCGGTTTCCCCATGTCCAACGTGAGTTTCTTACCCCTCCATCTCGCCTCTCCACTCTTTGTCAAAAGCGTCCAGGGGAGGATCTTCTACCAAACAAGTGCAGCTGACCCCTGCCTCCGTGAATGAAGATACAACCAGCTGACACCAAGTTCATCACCACCCTCATCGGAATGATAGTAGCTGCCTCTTCCACCCGAGTTTATCCTACTCTCATCTGGAACCCTCTCACATATCTCTCTAATATCCTCAGGGACAACTATGACGCTTCTCATCGAGCCGGAGCATTCTTCATCTCTCTAGGTTTCGGATACGCCGCTTTGTTCAGTTGTATCTTCGAGAATGTCCTGCCGGGTGGTAACGACATTGCTAGTTTGGCTCCAAAGTACTTGACTGTGAAAAGGGCGTTTGGTATTGTGATGATCATCACTGTTGTGTGAGTGTTTTTGTTTACAACTCGATAAACTCTATGGTTGGTGTTGATAAGAAAAAACTCTAACACACAGAATCAACCCATGGTATCTCCTTGGCTCCGCTTCAATCTTCATCACCTTTGTCTCTTCTTACCAAATCTTCCTCTTCTCCATCGCCGCCATTCTCATGTGCGATTATTACTTTGTTTCCAAGGGTCGTCTCGACCTCGCTTGGATGTACACGGCGGATAGGAGGGGACCTTATTGGTACAATTACGGTATCAATTGGAGAGCTATTGTGGCTTATTGTGTTGGTGCAGGGGTCAATTTTGCCGGATGTACGTGGTTCCTTTTCTCTTTTCCAGCTTCCCAGACTCCCTCTCCGCACTACTTCATAGAGTACACGGGACAGGTGGCTCTGTCATGATTGAGATAACTCTGAGGAAGAAGGAATTCTTGCTAATTTTCAGTCCTTCAAGCTATGGGAGCCGTACAGAAACATGACATCGCTCTCACCCATTCATATTACTTTGCATTCATCACCACTGGTGTAGCAGCAGGGGGTACATACTACCTACTCGTTCGTCTCTTTCCCCAACCTAACTACCTGTTGAACAAAGACATACCATTCCGGGAATGGAGTCAGGACGAAGTGGAGATTTACGCCGCTGGGAAAGGTAACCTTCGTGAGATCCGTGAGGCTCGTTTGGAAGCGGAAGATAAAGGGACGAGCAGTACGGGTGATGTTGAAGATGTGGATGAGAAAAAGGTTGATGGAGTGAGGACTGCTGTTTTAGAGGCGTGAGAGCAGGTGAGTAGCATGGAAACATCGTCAATTATTTAAACAACATCCACAATGAGCTTGGTTTCAGGATAGGAGGGAGAAGAAAGTATTAGGTTGTAGGTTGTAGGTTGTTTGGTTGTCTTGTCGGATAAGATGCATCTTTTGTCTCGCTTCGTCTTGCTACTCTAAGTCTCTAATCGCTTTTGCTGCCATGAAAACAGTCTGACGTCATGGCTATAGAGTTCGGCGGCGATCGGCGAAATGCCCGGAGCTAAACCGATGGGACGGTATGTAGCGGCGATGACCGCCCTACGTCATGTGGACCTTTGAGAATCGTGTCCGTTCCATCAGTTTGTCCTAGTGTCTTGCTCGCTCCACCAAAGCATGTCAGGTGAGTACGACTAGCCCTTCTCGGCCACAAGTGGGCTTCTGGCTTCTGGAGTTCTCATAAACCATCAGCCAACCCATCAATCCGCCTTGCCTTATCACCATTACGAAGTACATGTAAAGTAAAGACTTGATGTCTACTAAATAAACCACTTTTCTCTTCCTTTCTTCCTCAACGTCATAATTCAACTTTCCTTCTCACCTTCTCACGCAAACGGCTTACCTAAATCCACCGCTTTACGACCGACGGCCGACGACTCGGACTCACTGCCTCTACCCTCGACCATTTGTAAGTTTTACGTTTCACTCTCACAACGCGGGGAATTGCGGGGTAACGGGTAAGCGGGGTCAAGTGAACAGTTGAAGAGTGACGACGGTGACGACATTGTCTAGACACCTACGACGATCCCCCCTTCCACTGTCTCTCTACGTCAACGGCCGAGAGATCAAACCCACAAGGTCGCCGAGCACTGCAACGTAAGAAAGATGCCTTATGTATCACCTCTTTCTCTTTCAATCTCTTCCTTCCCTTCCCTCGATTCTCATCTTTTACCCTTGAACCCTATCCTTCCTTCTGATCAACCAAGGGAACAAGAATCAACATTCGCATCGGACAACAACAAAGAACAAGAAGAAGAAAAAGAAAACGAAGAAGAAAAGAAAGGAATTCATATGACCATGTCGATCTTTCCTCCACAACTCGCCACCCTCCCTCACATGTCCAACCAAGATAGAGAAGATGATTTGACACCTCGTCCCACTCCAAACCTTCCAGAAGGGTTGGCATCATTATCATTGAACTCTCCTTTCCCTTATACACCCATGGGGGGACCGGTGGCTGGTGGGAGTGGCGTCGATAACGGTGGTGCGTCTGGGATGAATCGAGCTGGTGGTGGTGAAGATGTTACACATGGGTTGAAGGGTATCCCACGAACACTTCCAGAGCAGGATCAAGTTAAACGACCTCTTGGAGAGGTTGGAAACATACCAAAGTTGGCTGGAGGTCTTGATGCACATGAAACAAGGACAGACAAAGTCGATGGGGGTGGAAAACCGTTTGTTTCCGCTGTCAACATTAACATTGGGAAGGATGATAGAGGGAAGGAGAGAGATGTGAAGGGTGTGGAGGGGAGGAAGACTGGGCAACATGGATCACCAGAGCACATCGATACATCATCACCACTCGTCGATGACCACGATGACACTATCAGAGAAATGGATGAGATGGAAGTTCCAGGATTATCCATCACACCAAGCACCACAGCATCATCAATCAGTATAGTCTCACCCTCTCTATCTAGCGAAGAAGATTCACCAAAGGGAGATAGAAAAAATGCCGGCTCACCAACTACTAGCGTCGAAGCGGATGATTGGGATGATAGACTGAGGAAGTATACTTGGGGTTTGTATAATCATACGGTGGGTTTGAGCGACAACACACATATCCTTCTATGACATTACCCTTTTATCCCTAGTCACATTTCTTTTTCTTTTCCCTTTAGAGCTCTCTAGACTGGCTCTCCACATTCCCTTCCTACGTCATACTCAACCCATCAACCCTTCCCACCCGTCCGCTCCAAGCTCACTTCCTTGCAAAGGTCTCAAAAGCCTTCGAACGTGGTGTGGGGCGAGAACGCAGGAGTATACATGACATTTTAGTCCCCGCTGATATTCAGCTAAACCAATTTCGAGAAGCCAAGCAGCGTGGAGGTAGTCGAAAGAATTCTCCGATTGCAGAGAATATACCTCAATTTGGACATAAAGAAAGTGGAAGTGAGTGATTCCTCTTTTTCTCTCGTTCTCTCCTGTAGATCACTGCTGTTTTGACTGTTTTTCTTTCAGCGCCTCCCTCATACTCCACACGACTCGTACGGATTCTTCGGTCTAGTCATTTCTTCCCCCTCTCTTCTCATCATCATCTTCCTGATGATCTTCTTCGGAACGTCTGCGGTTTCCTCAAGGCATCACACCCTTTTCACGACAATATCTCCCGCGGCGGATCTTCACAATGTTGATATTCAAATCTAACAAACAGTGCAAAAGATGGCTGCGCAAAAACGTCTTGCCAGACAACTCAATTCATGACCTGATAAATCTCCTCGACGAGTATCATTGGCAACATGTCTCACTCTTTATCCAACTTGGTCACAAGCAGCCTCACTCTGTCGGCTATCGCAAATTCTGTCTCCTCCTTCACTCAGTGTCCAAATCCTTCCCTCACGTTGACATTCATTGTACATAGCTCTTCGTTCTCCATTGGTCCAACTCTTTGATCTCACACCACAAACCACAACCCATGATCCAACCTACTATACCTAGGCATCGTCATTGCACATAGTGTCAGTTTTTACATTTGTATCGAATAGTCCATGCATCGAGAACCAGTCTCAAGTTGATAATTGCTAGCTGGCCACCTGCTTCTTCACTATGAAATCTATACTTCACATGCTCACATAAGTGTCGATTCACAGGTATATCCCCTTCCCACCCTTGCCCGCTGATCAGCCGCTTGTCGCTGAGCCACCCACACGATCATACTTATCTTTCGTTCCTGATCCTCTTTGACTATCCTGGAATTCGTGGTCGAAACCCCCCAAAGACACGGGCAAGACTTGATTGATCAATACTGACCATTGTCCCGTCTACGACGTCTCTTCATACCGCGTTTACGTCCACATGACCCTTTGGAAATGGCCGAGGAAGAAGAAGAAGGTACCGCCACAAGAGTTTCACCACCTCCAGGGTTTGTCGATTTAGACATTGACGATTTTGATGGTGTCGAGGTGGATGTGATAGAAGAAGATGTGGGTTTCGATATCGATGCGGCGGATGAACTGCCAGAACCATTAGATCCACCAGAAATGCTAGAAACGCCAGAAGCGGGAGCTGAAGATATCGAAGATGTAGAAGAAGAAGGAGAAGTTGCAGAGTTCGGTGGAGAAGAAGAACCGACAGAAGTTGAACAAGCGGCAGAATCAAGTGAACAACCATCGGTATATGTCGGAGCTGGAGAATTCAATTTTACAGTTTCGACGTAATTCGGTATAGAAGTTTTCGGTGTTGAACCTCCCCATTCTGCGTTATTTCCAGGTAATTTCGATAAAGGACCGATGACGTCCTATCGTGTCAGCATCAACTTTTCTCTTTGCAGAATTGAAGTTTAATAGATTCTTTTCCTACTTTTGACTTTTGACTTTTCACACTTTTCTCTTTGGAAGGGTGATAGATCAAAGGTCAGAACTTGGTTTTTGAGGGAGAGATAAAAGGGATCTTCATAATTGACGGTTGGACGCTTCTGTGCATGTGACATGGAAGATGATTCACTCGCAGATTGGGTTCTGGGGAAGGAACATGAGGTGGTATAGTGAGGCAGATAAAACGAAAATGAAGTGGTGGGGCGTTTCTTGTAGAAAGGAAACGTGGTTCCGTAAAAGGCCAAGATTAGAGTAGGAAATGTATATTTTGTCATGAGATATAATCCGCAGTAAAACATAAACCGTATCCAGAATATTCAAAACGAATAAACAGAGTGAGAAGTAGAGAGATAGATAGATAGATGGATAGGTGATATTGGAGAAAGTACTAGTAAGACACAGAGACGAAGACAGAGAAAGAAACATTCCAAAACTCACCTCATCCACCCAATTCTTATCAACAACACAATCACCTCCATTACTTTGTAAATGTGACGCCAAAGGTGGACATTTATTTAGTCCGAATTCCACCGCGCAATTTTCACCGGCATCGAAGATAGTTTGCATGTAACCATCTGGCCAACCCATTGTGAAATCCGCATGGAAGGAATAACCGACTGTATCACCTGTTGCCCAGACGCCTGATGTCAGTGATATTCGAGTTCTACGTTTTTGGTCATTACATTGCCTTGATCAATGGTATGTTTTCGTTGAGCAACTTTGGGATACTTGTTGGGGTGTGTCATGAGAAAAGTGGGGCAGAATGGAAGACCTGCAAAAATTGATGTTCGGGATTAATGGATACTGTAGAGCAGACGGATGAATTGTTTTGTGATGGTATCTGAGTCAAGTCGGGGAGAAGGCGAAGAGATAGGCTTTGGGAGTACCGCTGGACGAGGATTCCACAGCGAGTATTTGCGTTTCAGGATATAGAGGAAGAAGGAAGAAGGAAGATTTAGGAGTATCAACTCACGAGCACCAGGTTCATACTCGAAGTCGTCCTTCTGAATCAGCATCGCCGATGCTACAAAATGAAGAAACAAACCTCGTAATGCCATTCATAGAATACTGTCATCAGCTACGTCCTTTTCATCACTACAATGCCCGTCAAACTGGATCACTCTTTCATCGCAATCACTTTGGAGTATGAAATGGGGTATTTTGACAGAATTTGTTAACGGGATGAGAAAAAAACACTCACGGGACATAATCCGTTTAGGATGACTATCAGGACATTTCCCACCTCCGTTGTACATCCCTTCTGAGCTGAAAGCTACGTGGGCGCTGGAGATAAGCTCAACGAATCCCCTCCAGGTGGTTATACGTCGCACACGCCTCCACGTCTCCATTGACGATCACATCACACCGGTTTCACGTGGAACGAGAACAAGGTTTTAGGGATCAGTCGGTGAAAGCTTACCTATTAGGAAGCCAGTTATTGATTCCGTCCCAACAATGAGGAAAGAAAGCTTGTGCTCGGAGGTTGCTTGGACAACTTTGAGTTGGGAAATCTAAGAAATGTAAGCGATATACCCCCAAAACATCACCCCGGTGGCCCTTCACCGCACACCAACGCCACGGCTTTGTGACATTTCGATCGGCAAGAAGATTCGTGATCTTACCGTTCCAAGCTGATGATGAAAAAGGTGATAACAATGAAGTGAAATGAGGTTTGCCACACCATCTGAGATCGAAGTTTGATGGTCTTAACTACTCACCAGGCGTCTCAGGTCCACTGACTCCTAAACAAGCATAACTGATAGCTGCGTTGGTAGGATCACTCTCGTTGTACGTCTGTCGATTGGGATCGCCAACTAACATTCTGAACCCAGGAGGGAAAGGAACGACCGTTTCCCCATCTGCTTTCCGGGTCTGTCATCAGTATCGAATATCTTGCGCGATATATCTTACGCAGTGGTATCGCTATTCAAGGACTGGTTCCTGGCAAATGTCAGGTAGTCCAGGTAATGCGGAGAAGAGTTTCAACGAATGAGAGTCGCCACCTTCAAGGATGACCTGGTGTTTGAAGGAAAGATTGGGGAGTAGACATCGTGGGAATGCCGTAAGGATACTAGCAAGATATCAAGCAAAAGAAGTTGAACCCACGAGATAATACGTATTAGCATATGTCAACTTGACCAACGAAACGGTCCCATTAGGATGATTACGATATAACTGTGGTGCCCAATAATTGGATTTATCAATCGCGACGTTGGCTGATGTACATCTTGATGTTAATTGTCTTTCCCCTTGTGGTTGGTCGTCCAACATCCTCACTCGGAAGACATAAACTCACTTTGCTTGTTGTGAAGCGGCATAATCGTACACCGGTCCGAATGCTGATCCTCCGACTACCTGATGGGCTGTTTGTGAGTGGGGTCCTACTGCTTCTCTTCGCAGCAGTAAGCATTTTCTGCGTCGCGTATTAGAGCATACGAGAATGAGAATCTGTTTTGATTCCGAATTGCGAGGGGAAAGTAGGTTTTGAGGAATGATCCGGGCCAGGGGCAAGAGAATTGATAACACTCACTATGGCCAGAAATCCCAGCAGGAGATACGATAGGATCTAATCTAACGGAAGTCAGAGGAGCGTGCGAAACGACCCAAAATCTGTTCGTTAGAACTTGTCGGTTTTCCCCTTCCATACCACAGTGTATAGAAACGGCTTCTCTAAAACTCGGGGTTATGTCTTTTCTTATATTCCACCACCCAAGCTATGTCTGTACACACACCCAGTCCTCATTCCGTATTCTTTGAGACCGCATTGAGGAGTTGAGACACCACCTCCGGGTAGTACGAGGATAGTACGAAGAGATTCAAAGATTACTCACGGATCAGTTCCTACTCCATAAGGCCCAGCATCTGCTTTCACCGCCAAAGCCCCGTACAGAGTCCCAAACAACAACTTGACCAACATTTTCACCGAAACCCTGTGTGTTTGGAATACCGTCCTATTCTCTTTGACCGACTATCGTTTTGATATCGTGGAAAATTCAGTGATCCAGTCACTGACCACCTCCAGCTGTAATGGAGAAGCTTCAAGCTAAAGAACGTATGTAAAATGAGTGTGATGAGTCAAGATCAGAAAAAAGTACTCGTAAACTCCAATCTCAATCTCATACCCCCTCTCATTCAATTCGTTCTTACAGATGTCATCCCTGATCAATCCTGTGGAGGCGGATCATGGAGGACCCAGGCCTTCAGCCCTGATATCGATAAAGCTCCCTTGAGTGTAGAGCGTAAATCGGGGGGAGATTGACCAGAACTTTCAAAGGATGTTAATGCGTTTCATGTACGTTTTGTGTCTGCCGTCAGAGAGAGTCAATGCGGTGAGGCTTTGAGTGAAGTGACGTGCAAGGCATGAGAGGAAAGGTAGGGAGGAGGACTGATTGAGATAGACGGAGGGGAGGATGAAACGGGGTGGTGTTGGTGATTTGTGGAGGTTCTTGTTGTTCGTGTTTGTTGCTCGTGCGTTTCTGCTGCATGCTGCCACTTACTTGCCGTTTCTATATGTATGATATTGTGAAGGATGGATGACCCGGGAGTCGCTGTCCACTTTCATCTTGCTGGGTGGACCCCGACCGAGGGTACGCTGTAAGCTGATACGTGCATGGTGCATGGTAAGTTAAGTGTTGGTGGCGTGCAAGGGTTATTAAGGCAAGGATGAACTTTGAGGTCACTGGTAGATACGCTTACTGGACTTTGTAGACACTCACCTGTTCTAGCTTGTACAACGCCGAAGCGACTAGCAGCTAGCAGCTTTGTCAACTCGACGTCATGACATCCACCTCCACCTCGTCATACCTCGTATTATACACAACGGAGTGACGTTGCTAGAAGACGCCGGTTGAATCAGCTGTGAGATGAGTGAGAACCGCCGGGAATCCGTTACCCAATCCGGCAATTTTCTCTTTTTCCATCTCACACCTTTCTCCCCTTTCTCACCATGTTCAACACGTATGAGATGACCAACCAACTCCCACCTTTCACGTCTATATGTCATCTCCACTCTGCGAGTAGTCAATCTGAAAGAGATAAATACCTATTCTACTCACCCACTCTTTCATCCGATTCATAACAGACACAATCAACATATTCACCATTCCCATCATTCCATCCTACCGCTTCATCTTACTTGCTGTATCACTAGCAATCATAGCTACTCTACTTCGAACCTTTACTTCTATACGTCCTTCATTCAACATCAACTCGAACTTGAACAAACTCGGCGTGAGGAAATTATCCGATATGGCTATAGGTGCTCAAACCGCCCCGGCGAAGATGCAGTTCCGCTTTAGGGCTTCAGAAGAAAGAGGAGGTGATGATCATGGTTGGTTAAAGACCTTCCACACCTTTTCCTTTGCGGATTATTACGATCGAGATTTCGTTCAGTATGGACCGTTGAGGGTCATCAATGAGGATAGGGTATTTGTGAGTGTTCTTCCCTAACCTCTTCCTCTGCTGTAGTACACCGTTAAGTATATCACCCACCTCATCCCCACCTCCTACATCGCGACGGTGTTTGGAACTCTCACTTCGCTCCCGATCGTCCGAGAGGAGGAAGGGTAGTGACAAGCAACCCTGGTAGAAGGGACTCGTTAATATACCCAACGATGAAAAGTGACACCACTAACCCTCAGCCCGGTCAAGGCTTCCCCTTCCATCGTCATCAAGAAGCCGAAATCTTTTCCTATATCCTCTCTGGCGAATTATCTCACAAAGATACCATGGGAAATGTCGAAACTATGAAAAGAGGAGACGTTCAAATGACTTCTGGTGGTACTGGAATCGCTCATTCGGAATACAACGATCATCCAAAGTAAGTTTGATCATCTCCTTTTCCAAATCAATTCAGCTTTTACTGACTTCTCAGCAAAGAAGTTCATTTCTTACAAATCTGGGCTCGTCCATCTCAACGTGCATTAAAACCTCAATATTACACACGTCACTTTACCGACGCCGATAAGAAAGATAAATTCGCACATATCGTCGCTCCGGTAGGATACGAAACTGTTAAAGATGTCAGAGAAGCCGATGGTCCAACTCCTGTACATGCTCCATTACACTTTTTCACTTCTTTATTATCACCGAAAGCCGATCCTGTGACACATACTGTATTACCCAGGTTCAACCCTGTCGAAGGGTCAACGGATAAACTGGTGTATCTTCAAGTGGTACAGTCATCGGGATATTCGATCGAAGCTTCGAAGAAAGATGGAAGTGGAGCTTTGATAAAAGTTATCGGTAATAATGGACAGGAGACGATTTTAGGTGAAGGGGATGGTGTGTTTGTGGATGGAGCAGTGGAAGGTGATGTGGTGAAGGTTGAGAACATCGGGGAGAAAGTGGCAGAAGTCATCTTGTTCGACATGGACGCTTAGTCGGACAGCGATACAGCGACTCGATATGATCCTTTGCGTAGTTCCTCATTTATCAACCTCACAATGTCACATTATCGTACCCGGATCCCCCTCAACCCTTAGAAATCGAGTTTCCCTCCCATCTCTGTCACGTCTTTCCGTAGATATCAACAATGTCAGTAGTGTATATCAGTAGATTACATGTATCATAATGCTTTTTCAAATGCTTTCAAACATGGGTGTCATATAAAGCACAGCAGGACTGCGTATTACTTACATGCCACTATGGCCCATGGCGCTGTAGCAGTGAGTAGTACATAGCCACGTTTGTGGGTTGGTGGCTGTTCCGTCGGAAACAGTGGAGGCGATGACGTCACTCTACGGGGTTTCGGCAATTTTGAATCTATTCTGGCTGTTGGCAGTTGCGCGATTTTCCATTGGTCCGAGCTTTTCATGGTCCAAATTAGCAGTCCTCACCTCGCGCCAAGCGAACAAGCTACGATCGCAACATACGGCGTATTTACGCCCCTCTCACTTTTCTCCCGCCAAACGGTGAAAAGCCAAGGTGCGAGTGGGAGAAAAAGAGATTGGTCTTATTGTATCCCCCCACTTTACATTTCCACTCTTTCAGGGTCAAGTCATTCTTTTGCTTACACCACCAACCGACCGGACGAAAGAACGAACGACCTTTGGCCACATCTATTTAGAGTAAGACGAAAAACATCTCATTCAGAACCAAGGCTTTTGAGCTCGTCGAAAGCTGTTGCCTGCGTTGCCTTTGGCTCGCATAAGGCTTCAGCGTCGAGGTTTTATCAGTGATAAGAAAGGTTGACAAAGACCAGAAGAGGTTTCTTCCCTTTTTCACAATCACCGATTTCGACAAAAAGGCGTGTTCTTCTTATTTGTCTGTTCTTGCGTTTTGACGACTTTGATTGGGATACAAGTTCATTTGGAAGTTGAACAATCAATCGATTGAAAGATTCAGACAAAACAATTGTTTGAACGTCTAGGATAGACTCAAAAGTGCTTAGGTGCTAGGTGCTATTGTTCGACACCTGTACCAGGTCGAGACATTACCTGTGGGTCATTTTCCGCTCTCATCGCTTCTTTTCTTTCCATTTTTGACGTTTATGCTCTTATGTCCGTCTCATCTTACCACCATTTGAAGTCGAAAAGTTTTAGAAAGACCCAAGGGAAGAAGAAGCGCGAATTCAATCGCGCTACAGTATCTTCACCCACTCGCCATCTAGTCTTAACGGTGTCCGACCTAGACTCCATAGCTTATCCTCTCTCTACTATTTTAATACATCCTCCGTCGTACGTCGGTCGTCATCGTTCATCGTGACATCGTACGCGTTGCAGTCGTATCGATTGTATGGAAACACCCAGAAAAACGAATCATCGCTGACACTTTTGCTTTGCCACTTTTGACGATAAATTGATCCCAACTCGTCATTTTGTCTACCCATCAAAACATACTCAATCAATCCGATTATCATCCATTTTTCTTATCGTCCTTCGGTCATCCCTACCATTATCGCACGTTGTTCCTTCCATCTTTCCATTTCGTCTCTTGGACCTCAACTATCAACATACTCCCCAACTCGACACTCCACTCGGTCAATTCGACAACCCTCCATTCATCCACCTCCTTCCTCCTTTACAAACCACTTACCTCATCCGTCTTCCACCTCGTACAACCATTTCCCCCGCAGATTCTTACATTCTCACCAATCACTTCAATCAGACTCGACCATCGAACATCTAATCACCCTCTCTTCGTCATCAGACATCGATAATTCTTTGACCATGGCGGATTTACTATAACGAATTATTCACATTTTCGTGACAAACCTTCAGACCAGCGGCTCCTCGTATTTATGTCTGAA